TTTACAGATTACAGATATAACAAACTGAATTCTTTCTCATTTGTACGATAGTGAATATTAATTACAAAAACAGATGTTTGTGAGGAAAAAAACATTTTCCTTCATTTTTAAAAGTACAGAAAAGATGCACAAGCTTTGTTGTGCTTACGTTGAAAGGTTTTTATTAAAAATTTAATTACCTTTACCAAACCCCACAGTACTTTGAAAGACAAACATCCTGCTACATGAATATTTTTCGGAATATGGTTTTTATTATCCGAATTTCATCCAGAATATTGTGGTAGGAAAGTGCTATTTTTGTTGTTTCAGTTCAGACCATTGAAGTGTTTCAGTGTGGACAGTGTTGTACTGACTTTAAAAGGGGGAGAAAGTGATTGAATGTAAACAGAACAGTGACTGAGAGAATGTAAAAATTGTCTTATGTGAAATGATTTTGCTCTTGAAGGCATACTCAAATAGTTGCTAGGGTTAGGAGAACTATGTATAAACATGTTTTTTTGTTTACTGGCAGAAGTTATCATCAAAACGTATGGCAAAATTTCTCCAGTACATTAAAGGAAAGAATATTTCATTCGGGATTTTATCAAGGATGTGTTTCCCACAAATACATTCATATGGAAAACATGAAATGAAATGCATTGCTGTTTACAGTTTGGAAGCATTATATTGGTTTAAGGATTTTAGATCTACTTATTTTGTTAGCATCAGTTCCATTGAAGTTGCTCAGTGTGGCAATTCTTTTAGAAGAGGATTCTTATATTTTGGTTACTGAGGGCCAACAGAAAATTACAGCACAATTATGATACTCACAGAAGATATAAATAGGCAGGGGATGATAATATCAGAAATGAATCTAACTTTTATACCCACAGATTTTTGTCCAATTCCTGATTCTCAGGAACATTCACTGCCCTTTAAAGACAATTCTACCTGTTACTACTCACTTTGCTCAAATCTAACAGTTACAGGATCTCTCCACAGTACTTAGAACTGTCAGTATGTTCAATTTTCCTTTTAGAATTTTTACTTTCTTACATAGCAAGAATAACTTCTCTTCCCAAGTCAGTGCAAGCATGTAATTGTTTTTTGTTATTGCTGTGTTATACTGATTTCTCTGTAGTCAACAAAAATGAAGCTAATTCAAATGTACACCACTTTGCTCAAACTAAACTCTAAAAGTTACTGGGACACTTCTGATTCTCTGCCTCTTTGTTTATTCAGTCCTTATTTTGCTGTTTACCTTACATATGCCTCAAATATCGTCTTACAGAAGAAAATCCTGTCAGAATGATAAAGAACATTTCAGGTGCTCTTGTCTTAAAGTACCACAAAATGATGGGTTTGATAAGAATACTGAGGGAAGACAGAGATAGCTAAATATCAATCAGAGCAAACCAAGGCAACAACAAACTCATTACAAATGCATAATTTTTCCATTTGAGAAAACAGACAATGCTGAATAAATTAGCAGGGTTATATTTATGCCAAATACCATCATTTCTAATTACAGACTTACTCTCTTCACTTTCATCCTTTCTTTATGAACAAAAGCTGGTTGGTTTTATAATTTTTCTAATGCGCACGATATGTTGTGGGTATTATTGAAGCCTGAATTTTACAGAAGTAATTGCAAAAATTATTCTTACCGGTAAGAAAAAAATGCTTACTTCCTTTTCCAGACTATTTTGCCATTATTTTTAATGAAAATCGTACTTGATGTTTGTCTTCAGCATAGACAATTGAAGTATCATTCTTGAAGTGGCAGGGCTTCTGCTTTCAGCTGAAGTAGCAAGGCTGAAGCTTTTGTAAGAAGTGTTATAAATCAGAGCCTCTAGCTGTAGGTACCTTGATTATAAAAGCTTTGCTCTGGAGTCTGTCTACTGAGATATAATGTATTAGCGTGAGTCAGAGAAACAGTTGCACAAATGGGTGGTAAATCATTGAGGAAGTATTGTTTTGAAGTGGGTTCAGGATTGGGTATGAAGTTGGCATAGAACATGAAGAAACCATGATCCTATTTATCTCTTACCTAAGTGGATGTTAAGTATGTGTTTTAAACTACTGGAATTTTCCATATGTGCCATAGAGTGCATTCCACATTCAAGACACTTTGCTAAAATAATGTGAAGTTTTATTGAGAAATAGCATGAAGACTTAGCTTGTTAGGGAGAATTTGAGAATGGCTGTACTCCCGTAGACAGAGGATCCCTCTGAATATGTATCCTCTCACTATAGTAGTATCTGGCAGCATGTGATTGGGAAATGATGTTACAACTCATCACTGGTGCCTTCTCACTGAAAATTTTGTGAAAATTTTCAAGTGTTCAGCAGATGTAGCTGAAGAAATTCCTGAGAGAGAGAGAAGCTATTTTTCACCTAAGAACTGTAAATGGTATTTTAACTTTGAACTTCTTCATTGGCTTTCTGAATCCATGCAAATTTTTAGCATCTATAGATGAAATATCAATAACATCCACAGCTATTATCTTAGGGCAAAAGTGCATGCGTACACAGGAAATGTCTGCTTTATGTCCTGTTGTCTAGACATACAATAGACCCCCCAAGAAATCACTTACAGTTCTCTAGTGGTTTTCCATGCCTTTCTTTCTCCCAAGTCTGCCTCTCATACAGTCAGTGAGTTCTTGTTTATTCCTTAATATTTGATCAAGATAGGCACCATTATTTGATCTTTTAATGTTACTAAACTTTCTCCTCATTAATTTATTATTGATAGTTGAAGTCGCAGATAATACTTCAAGTCATTCACAAATACGTGGGTATAACTTTTTAAAAAGTATAAACTGCCAGTTTATTCTGGCATCATCAACTCTGTTCTGATTCACTAGAATGAAAATTTCAAGAATCAGAACAGAAGCCATGATTTTCCATACTTTACTGGTTGTTCAGTAAAGAACTGAAGCAGAAAGCAACCCTTGCATATACATTCATTAGAGAGAAGGAAATTGCAAATTAGCAATCTGAAAATCAGTGGGATGACACTTGTTCCATATGTTGGGTTTTTTTGTTTACATATCAGGTAAGTTAGCAAAACAAGAAAATATTGTTTCCCTCCTTCCATTTCTTTTAATCCTATACTACATATGGCATTGCGCACAAGTCCTTACTTGTGGGTTTATGTTGGGTAGAGGCCTTGTCTCAGGGAGTTTATTGCATAATGAATCTGGAACAGTGTTGAGTGTATTAACTAAACTACAGATAGTAAAGTCTCAGGAAAAAAAAAAAAACAAACCTATAGTAAAGATCTGACTGTAATCCAGGAAACATACACTTCATCCTTCTAAAACTCACTCTACTTCTCCAATTCCTTGCTGTTTGCTGATATGTTAGTTTCTGGAGTCTTGAATAGCAGTGTTAAACTGATACAGAAAATAAGTAGCTTGTCATATGAAGAAAAAACATAGTGAGGACAAATTGTAAAATCAAATCTTAACTAATTTCTAACAGTAAAAGGCATCTCATCTATACTATAATTCTCCAAAGCTACTGAGAACTCTGTCCCATCATTATTCCTGACAGAATTCCTGTTCACACTGTATTCAGGAGGAACTGTAGAACCAATGTCTTTTTATTTTTTCTCCAACAACTGTGTGAATTCCTAGGTCTCCATACTCAAGATCTTTGTGTGAGAAATATTGATGACTAGTATTTGATTGCATGTTTTTTTTGTACTGAAAATGGTGAAGCTTTTGATTTTATTATTTTTTTCTAACTCATGCAGACTTCCTGGAAGCTAGTTGGTCCACAGAACACTTTGTACTTTTCAGATCATGTTTTTTTCAAGTGTTTAGTTAAGGCTTCCATCTTTGAAAATCCTATACTACATTATACCTCAGTAGAACAAAAAGAGTCTTTCAGTAGAAAAATATTTGTAGTAGTGTTTTACACCGCTCCTTAATTAGTGAAACTGAAGGGAGATCATTTGGCAGTTACAGTAGAGTCCTTCTGTAGTGGATTGAACATTAATTTCCTGTTTCTTACCTCAAATTTCAGTGTTTTACTTGGGAAGTACTTAAAACAGAAACTTGACAATCTTTAATGAAGATTAGTCCAGTGACTGCTTTGAAAGTAATTTTAAGCATACTAAAATACAGAAAAATCATGCTTAAAAAGATTATCATCAGTTACTGTTTTGAAATCATTAAAACAGGTATAAGCAAGAAAAAATATAAAATAGTAACTACAGTCACCTCAAATCATTAATCCTGCCCATTTTAGAAATCCAAGTCTTTTTTCTTAATGTAGAAAAAACTGGTTAAAAAGTTGCATGAGCTATCCTTGATTCGTGCAGGTATTTCTATGTTACTGTAATCAAAAGTTCAGCTTTTTCTGTAACCATTTTGCATAGTCTTACCAACCAGAATTGATTGAGCATATTTCCAAGCTGTACATCTACTTCAAGTAGTTTCAATTCAAGCTTTTTGCTTTTGACTGAGAAGCCATTTGTTTTGTTTGATATAACACATCAGCCACTTTGGCAGCTGACAAAAAACTGAAGAAAATATTTGTGAATGAGGAGTATGGTGTCCTGTCACTGGAATAACAGTTTTCTATTTAAAATACAACTCCTTTGGAAAATGGAATGATAGTGTAGTCTAAGTACTAGTGATGTTTTTGATAGCAGCTCTTAGTGTGGCCTTGAATATAATTGGAATTAAAATTAAGTCCTCGACCCCAGAAACTTTAGCTGTCTAATGTCAGAGGATGTATTTAAACTTTACTTTCTAAATCATCACCTTGCAATATGGTATTATTTGTGCCCAGTAAGAACTTTATATTGTAGTAATTTCTAAGACTTCTGCAATAATTAATTCAGCTTTTAATATGCTCTGAATATATTCAGTACATTCTATGAACTTCCATGTCATGCCTAGATTGTAAAATATATATATATATGTATTTCAAATGGATGGATAGCTATTGTAGGGAGGATTGTTCTGTTCCTTTCTTACAACTGATTCTGTTTAATTACTTTTTTTCAGATAATGGAGGACAGACTATGGCAGGTGGAAATAACTGGCCACTTAGAGGAAGAAAATGGACCCTCTGGGAAGGAGGAGTTAGAGGAGTAGGCTTTGTTGCAAGTCCTTTACTGAAGCAAAAAGGGGTAGAAAGTCATGAACTTATCCATATCTCTGACTGGCTGCCAACACTGGTGCACCTTGCTGGAGGACATACCAATGGCACAAAGCCTTTGGATGGCTTTGATGTTTGGAAAACCATCAGGTAACCTGCATGTCAAATTACTGAGTCAGAATTCTGGTATGGGAAGAATTTATCCAACCTTGAAAACAGAGCTGAATCCAATAAAAAATGTTACTTGTTTCCCTAGTTGAAAGGAAGGTACAGGTACTCGCTCATGAGAAAATTATCAAAGTTGCAGGTTAATCCTTTTGCTCAGATGTGAGGCCTTTGTAGTGTGTTAACTTAGGTGTGCTGAATTTATCAGTGCATGCACAATGCTGCACAAACATAGTATGCTTTTTAAGAACTTTCTATCTTACAGAAGTGGATTTGTACAATATGGAGTACAAGTTAGTAAATTACGTGGACCCAGCTCTGCCTCTACAGAGCCAAGCTGGACATCTCTGCAGTATGCTTCTGGAATTGGACATGTGGGAAATCTAATCATACATTAAACTAATTGAACGTGAATTTGGATGAGTCTCTATTACACTGTGCAGTGTCTCAGCCTGCGAGGTTGGATGCAATGATAAACCTGACTTAGTTCCTGAGTTTGTGATGTTGAATCTAATTTAAGCAAGTGCAGTGCTTACATGACTGTAGAGAAGGCAGCTTAGCTCCAGCTGGATTGGCACTGAGACCGTGAATACCTAATAAATTTTACTGGTCTCTCACTGATTCTGTGTACTTCTCATGCTGTGTGTATTAAATGGGACATCCTAGACACCATTACTTCAGATAATGAAGTCTTCTGTGCATTAAAAGAAAATTGAGTGAAGTCCCATACATTTTTCCTCAAGAGAATCATAATAAAAATGGTATCACAAATATTGGATATTGGACTTGAGGCACTGGGTACATCTGAATATGTGCTTGTTACTGGTGCACTGGGCTCAGCAGAATAAGTTGAATGTAAAAGAATGAATGGAAAAGGCATTAACTGATAAAGGTGATTAATCACTGGAACAAACTATCAAAAGGAACTCTGGTGATGGTGGTATTTTCAGCTAAAACTTAGATTCAGTTAGTCCTTCATCTTTCAAAGCTATTCTTGTATTATAATGTTCTCTTCTACTGAAATGGACTCTAGAGCCCTGTCCTGGTTTTGGCTGAAAAACAGATTATTTTCTTCACAGTGATTAGTATGATACTGTATTTTGAGTTTAGGAAAAGAACACTATTGATAACACAACAGTGTGTGAGTTGTTGTGTAACAAGTGATTAAACTACATCAAGGAATTCTCAGCTTCTGACACTGCCTTGCCAGAGAGGAGGTTGGAGACACATAAGGAGCAGGGAGGGGACCAGGAAACTGATTTAAACTAACCAGAAGGCTATTTCATTCCATAAACTGAGTAATAAAAATGATGGTGTTGGCTTTGGGTGCTGCCACTTCTTGGTGACTAGCTGAGCATCAGTTAGGAGCTGGTAAGCAATTGCGCTGTGCATCACTTGTTTGTACATTTTTATCTGAAACGTTTCTTTCCCTTCTTTTTCTTTCCTATTAAATTGTATTTATCTCAACCCACAAGCTTTACCTTTTTCATATTCTCTCCCTGTCCCTCTAAAGAAGGGTGGGGGTGATTGGATGGCTGAGTTGTCTGCTGGGTTAAACCACAAAAGTCCTTTTGGCACCCAACATGGGGCTCAAAAGGTTGAGATAACACATGAATTTTTTATAACCATTATATTAGATTGACAGCTGCTGGTCACAGCATTGATTTATTTATTCATAATATTTCTTTATTTGCTTTCAAGGTTGTTTTTCTTAATTCTTTTCTAATCGTTTATTGTCCCTGGGGTCTGGCTTAAGTTTGTTAATCTTTTTGCTGATTTGTGTATAGTATATACAAATTACATGAACTATAAACTTAATCTGGTATTTGTACTCAGAACTGCCATCATTTTTGCATTTCAGGAATCTAACTGTGGAAACTGTTAACAAGTACACTCTTCACTGCAGAATGACTTAAAACATTTTTTTTAATTCTGAACATTCTTGACATATTCAAGCTGGGAAGATCTTATTGCTATGTATTCAGTTTTGTCTAAGGTTAAATTATTACCTAAAAATATCAACCAAAGATCTGCCCTGAGGCAAGATTCTTACGGGTGGCAGAGTGTGTGGGAGGATATAGTCAGGTATCTGTCACAATTGCCTCTGATGGTTTCAGATATCATCCCTGAACATGTGTGAAACACTAAAAATCTAATACATTTTAAAAAGGTATGCCCTGATTCTGATAATGCCAGAGATTACAGTTCTCTTCACTATGCTGGATTATATCCTGTGCCTATCAAGCAGCAGTCAACACTATTCAGCACCCTCAAGAAGAAGAAAATGCCTCTGGATTTGATCCAGCCTTATGTCAGGCCCTGCTTTTGAACCAGAAAATCAACCAGAGGAGTCAAGCATCTGGGATCCCTCTTTAGGGAAAGGTGTGTTGACAAAGCAATTGGAAAAGAGGGGGCAACCCCTCACCCTCTGACGGCAACCCTTGTTGTGTGTGAAGGAAAAGTTTCTCTTCAAGGAAGATGTATGTATTCCCCGCAGGTGAATCACCATGGAGAAGATGCATCTAGTACTTGTGGGAATCAGCCATCCTCAAGACAATTTATCTTGACCTGGGCTATGATTAGTTATCCAGAGATCCAAACGAAGTCAAGGGCATATGATCCATGTTACAGTAGTATGTGTTAACTCTCTGGCAGTATTGAGTTGGAAAGATTGAGAGGGAAAAATGGTGGATAAATTTGCTGGCCAACTCCATTAATATGAAGAAAGTCTCTTCTTCCTTAGGGGCCCGAACCTTTGCTATGGAGAAACTGATTCAGCAGCTTAATGAGAGAAAAAGAGTTTTCTCCCCCAACCATATAGACCAACACCTCAACTATTAGGAGTAAGTGCTCTTCTGCTTAAGAGGGGACATAGTGGGAACACACCATGTGCCCTCCCTGTGTTCTTACTTGCATGACTATGGAGAGGATGTGAGGAAATGGGATGGAAAATGTACTTTGACCCTAGAGGCACAGGTATGTTAAAGGCAGGTCTTTAGGTAAATGGCTGCTCCGGTTTCCAGTAAGAGTATATAATGATAGTCTCATATGGCCAGTTTGGAAGTCCAATGGAGTGTGGAGGTGAACAGTGGACTGTCTTGGCCTGAATGAAGTCATACGACTGTTGAGTGCTGCTGTGCCAGACATACTAGAATTTCAGTACAAACTGGAATCAAAGACAGCAAAGTAGGATGCCACAGTTGATATCACCAGTGTGTTTTTCTCAGTTGTTTCAGCAACAGAGGGTCAGCTAAACCCCAGTTTGCTTTCACTTGGAAAGTGCTCTTAGAACCTGCCATTTTCCATGGGCTGATCCAGACTGCACTGGAACAGGGGGAAGATCTGAACACTTGTAGTACATTGATAACATCATTGTGTGGGACAACACAGCAGAGGAAGTTTTTTAGAGAATTTACTCTCAGCCCTTCTGAAAGCCAGTTTTGCCAAAAGGCAAAGTAAGGTCAAGGGACCTGCACAGGAGATCTGGTCTTTAGGACTAAAATGGGAAGATGGACATTGTCAGATCCCCATAGATGTGATCAATGTAATAGCTGCTATGTCTCCACCAACTAGCAAATAGGAAACACAAGCTTTCTTAGCTGTTGTGGGTTTCTGGAAAATGCATATTCTGGATTACAATTTGATTATAAATCCTCTCTATCAGGTGACCTGGAAGAAAACTGTCACGTGAGGTCCTGAGCAACAGCAGTCTTTGAACAAATTAAACAAGAGAGAGTTCATGCAGTAGCCCTTGGGCCAATCTGGACAGGTTAGACATAAAAAATGTGCTTTACAGTGTAGCTGGGGAGAATGGCCTCACTGGAGCCTATGGCGGATTTCGCTGCTGTGTGACAGATGACAGATGTTTCCAGAACATCCCGGAAAAATGCCATCTGACATGAAAATGTATATGAATCGAAGGTGTGTCACTGAATTACTTCATGCAGAAAAAATGGCACCCACTGACATTCAGACAGCGGAAGTGAGCAGTGAGGTGGTGGGTGGTGTGTTTCAGCAGTGGTAACACTGAGAAGAATGACAAACCATGTTCTGGACAGCTGTTCACAGCTGTCACAGCCCAAAATGAAGAGTGTCTCAATCAGCTCATCCATATGAATCAGCAGATTGCAACCAGTGAGCTGTATATGGAGATGAATATTGGCTTCAGTGCATTGGAAATGGTGGTGGAAACATTGGAATATCTCAAAATTGGCACCAGATAGGTCTTACAAATGCACTCGCAGGAACAGAAGGAACATCGTATGCAAGTTTGTCATAATTATCAACCAATGCAAGGATGAAGGTGACATTTTTCCTGGGTTGCATGCTGTGGTGACAAGACATGCTGTCACCACAACTAGCTAGAGCAGCAGTTCATGGAGTGGCGACATGTGAATTCACCATCAAGGAAAAAGTTCAAGTCTGAGCCTTCAGCAGGCAAGGTGATGTGCACTGGCTTTTGGGTTAGGAAAAGTCATCCTTCTGAATCTCCAGAAATCTGGACAAACCATCAATGCTGACCACTAGCCCGCTATTCTGACTGAGCTAAACGCTCAAACTTCCTGAGTTATGTCAGAGAAAAAGACAGCCTTTCTCTTGCAACACAGTAATGTTACGCCCCATAGCACTTTGAAGAACATGGAGCACATTGCTAATCCTGCCTGGACTGTCCTATGACACCCGCTGTCTATTTCAGATTTGATGCCTTCTGACTTCCATCTTTTTGGGCTGATTATGCCACCATAATACCTGTGAAACAGTGGGTTATCTCCACTGGTGTGGACTCCATGGTAGTGTTCTATCCCAAATGGATTTTTCAGAGAGCTCGTGGTCTTGTGCAGAGGTACACTGCATAGCTCTTTTCCAAGTGGAAGAAGATAAGCATGTGTGTACCTGAGGACATGGGGCCATTAAATTCCTCAAGAAATTGAAACTTTTGTTGAGCCAGACACAGCTAAATGTTTCACCTGCTGACATTAATGTGAGAAAAACAGCATCAGTAAGATCCCGGGGTACTGCTAAATGATGGGCTGACCTTTCTTCCAACAGCAGCAGGATTCCTATCTACTCTGGATTCCCTTTCAAACAAGCATTCCCTGTTATGGACTGATCTTCTTAGATCAGTTTACTTCAGTATTAAAATTATGTGAGGAATAACAGGTACAACTGTGCATCCCCTGCATCACTTCAATCTCGTCTCTTACTGAACGTTATGTTTACTACCACTGCCAAGGAATAGTTGACATCATATGCTTGCAGTTGTGACAGATGGAGGGCCTTTGTCCAGAGGAGAGAAAAAATTATTCTTTTTGTGAATTGCCAGGCTGCTGTCTGTCTGACTTGCAGCATAAATGTCAATTTCACATGATTTTCCCATATAATCAGGAGAAATGAGTATATTAAATTTCATGATCATAACTCAAAAGGTCGCTTGACAATTGGATGGTAAACAATGCAGGAATAATGCCCTTTTGATGACATCTGATGAAAAGTTCAAATTTGTTGCTTTTCTAGGATGAGGTAGCTCTTAATGAGTGAAATTTGCTAAGATTCTGCCTCATTTGAAAAATGGAAAATTAATAACCTATCACCATTTTACATCTGTATTTTTTTCTTGCTTGATGCAAGTAGCTGCATATGCTTCTGTGAGTTTTTGTTTTCTTTGAGGATTCTTTTGTTGAACTTTGTACCTAAGTCTACTATTTAATGTGTAATCAAAGGGGAAAAGTTTTTAAATTTGGAATATTGATTTAGCATCCTTTCAAGGGGTTGCATGAAACAACACAGATAATCTCACAAGTCACAACAGTAGTAGATCCATTCCCAAAGCTGTTTGATCTTTGTCTATGGTTAATTGATAGTTTTTTAAAGGGCCTTTTCTTAATATGATACTTAAGAGTAAATACAACTATGAAAACAATTATTCAACAGTATATGGCGTATTTACTTAGATAATGATACAAAAATATAGTGAATAAATATAAATTCTGAAATCCTAAAACAAATTATTTTTGGATGATCGGTTGTCCAAATTAGGAATTATATTAATATGACATTGATTAATATTAAATTCTTGTGGTAAATAGAGCTGAAAACCACATGTGTCCACAGCTGTTCATTTTACACTTCCTCTGCTGAATTTTGATTGAAGAACCAGAAGAAAAGTTAGTGATTGGGAACAAATGGGACATGAAAAACTAAAGTTCATAAGCACATGGTTCTTGTGGACATATATATTCTTTTTTTGCATTGCTTTTTACCAAGTTATAGTTGAGTTCCAAGTTACAGTTCCCTTCATGCAATGAGTGAAAGTAGAAATATAATATTTTCATTCTCCTTGTTCAAACTTATTTTCTTAAATTAAAATTTTTACGCTACTTAGAAGCTGTTGGACAGAGCCTTTGAGCTCAAACCTTATTTGCTCTTTCCAAATCATCTACTGTAGGAAATAGCATTGCAGCACTGTACCAATGGGATATCTAATGGCAGTAAAATGTAGTTTTGTTTAAACAGAAACTGAAGTAAAACAGGTTTCGCCCACACAGTCAGTCTGACACACAGTTGCCAAAAGGTGGGTATCTTAAGAAGTGTGCCCCACGTCCAGGCACCAGTGCAGGTGTTCTGATACAGTCCAGTTCTGAGGCTGAGCTCCACAACACTTTTGCCCAGCCACAGCTGTGGAGGTGCAGAGTTCAAGGGACACATCTGTGTTCTTCTTAGACTGGTGACCATGCACTGTTTTTTGTTATGCCTTTTTGTACCCTTACTGGTGCTATTTTTCCTGTTCTGCCTCTGTTAAGGCATTAGAAGTCTTTACTGTTCTTTATCTCCAGATAACTACATCCTGTCAAATTGACCTGCATGTTGGGATCTTGTTCACATTCTAAACTGGGTGTCATTAACACAGGCCATAGACATTCTGTATAAATCACAGCAGATTCCACTTATCTTGTACCTTAACAAGCAAACTACTTAACAGTGTTAAGTAATACTGCACTGTAGCTGGAACCTTTAAAATGTACATATACCATGTACATACTAGAAATTATATCTAAAATCCAGTAGAAATATCGTTTACTGTTTTACAAAAATATTAATTGATAACAAAAACATTTAATAATAACAAAACAAAAACATAACAAAAACATTTAATGGAAAGCAGTGCTAAAATACAACTAATCAAGTAATCTGAACTGTACAGCATGTTTCTCAAAAGACAGTTGCATTTCTAAGAAACATCTGTTTTCCACATGCTTTCTAATTTATTGAAACAGAGATGTGAGGCAAAATAGTCATGTAGAAGTCTGTCCTGGTTGATGCATTGTTTTGATATATTTTGTGTTTCAATACTGAATATCTAATATGTCTATGCTCAGAAGGATTTTGTTTTACATTAACAAAAAAAAAAAAAGGGAGAACTGTAGTGCTGATTGTAGGACTGTAGTAAAGTACATGCGGCATTACGGTAGGCACTAAGAGATTCTAAATGAAATATGGTTAGAATGACTACCGTTTCTCCAAAGCTTCTTAGCAGTTTTTCAGGTTTTATTCTGATACTTTTGCCTGGCATGTTGCAGTTTTCTATTTTTGTGACGTTAGATAGATCGGATTTGATTGGGTGAAATAGGAAGCAAGATCAACTTAAATTATTTCATATTAAAATGTGACATTAACTTGAGGACGTGTTTGGAAAAAGCTAATTCACAGCTATTTGTGGTATAAATAATACAAATACAAACAGAGCAGTTGAAAGCTGAGAGTAACGTTTATTTCCAAAACAAGTGGAATAAAATTATGTCAGAAAAGTGTACACAGATATGACCCAGAAAAGTGCAAGATAATGCAAATACTTTTGCTGAGTGATATGCAGGATGTTTTCATGAAAGATAAACATATTTACTCTGAAAAATCTTGATTTTCTCCCAAGGACACCTTCTGACTATTTTATGGCAATTAAAGTGAATGATCACATGTTGATATTTGTTAAAACTCACTAGAGAGCAATACATCCTCTATATGTTTTTAAAAAGGAGAAGATAGACTGATATTCTTAGTATAAATTTGCTAATTCTTCTGCTAACTTTGAAGTTTGAATATGTTTCAAACCAGATGTTCTTAGACTATTTTTCTATTTTTGGAAAAAATGTCTTTTAACTACTTAATGAAATTCTTAGTTGACATGGCAGAATAACTTCCAGACAAAAGGAAATCTTCCTTATTTTTAGGGTGAGGAAGCAAAGTATTGGACTATACTCTAAAAATAAATATTCTGAAAGAAGAGAATTTGAAGATGTGGTTACAATGAAACTTGCTAAATTACAAAAGAAAAATATCATAGAGAATCTTACAGCTTTCTTATTTAGCTGTGTATATTTCTAATGCAGGGCATCTGGAGGGAAGACCTCTGCAAATTGGAAAGAGATGAGTTTAGCCAAAGGGAAAGGGAAGTCTGCTGTGAGTTCGAGTTCTGCACTTATTTTCACAAGGATGTTATTTACTCCTTCCTGATGTCCTGTTGTAGTGGTTATAAACCTCCATTTTTGAAAGAATACTAAAGATTCACATATGAAAACGACAATATCTCCCAAGCAGCTTCTATAAAATCACTTACAAACTCTAAATTCACATCTTAATTTAACTTGCACTAATTGGCTCACAGTTGTTAATAACTTCTGGGAAAAGGCACACTTGACAACAGCTGTAAATGGAGCATCCAGAGGCAATAAAGTTCTCTTAAATCTAAGATCAAATTTTGTTACGTATAGACAGACACTTAGTAATGACTTCCAGGTCACTCAGTATGTGACCAACAGTTAGCCTATAGATTAATTATTATACTTCCTCTGTATTAATTGCAAGGTTGTTGTATTATCTGAATAACTTAGTCTTTCATCTAGTCCTCCTGTTTATTAGTTGTGTTTTTTTTTTTTTTTTTACTCAAAATGTGTAGCATCCAGCATTCTAAAATCCAGAATGGATTTTAGGACTGAGATGGAGCAATATTAATTATGATTACTTGATATTGAAAGGTTTAAGTTGTGTAAATATTATTCAATTATAAAGTACTTTTCACAGAAATATATGTTAAAGTAACAGCCATTTTTTGCTTCTACTAGATTTCCACTAAATTTATTACCCCCGTTTTTATTTTTAATGTCAGGCTTTAGTGGCCTACACTCACTATTTTGAGACTTACAATAAAGGAGAACAGTTTCAGTTATTTGGAAGTTTCTAAAAACTTGTTTATATTCTCAGTCAGATAATAAGATAATGTTTTATAATGATGTAGACAAGGTTCTTCATAATTATTAATTTCTATGCCATGTTGCCCTTTATAAGGAGTGAATTTCATTTATTGAGTTTCTTTTAGGACTGGGTTTTCTTTAATTCAGAGAGTTTCTTGACAACTTAGAATTTCATACTATGGAGCCAAGAGCTGGAGAAAGACAGATTATTTGTTTGTTTGTTTGTTTGTCTGTTTGTTTGTTTATTGCAGGGGAAGGTTCAGAGGACCTAAATAATATTTGTGATCTCTCTACGAAAGAAAGAGGTTGAATTTTTTTAAGGCTTAGCCAATGCCTCTGGTGGTTCTTGTTGAAGCAGACAACCAAAATGCTTTCAGCACTCTAGGGTGATGATTCCTGTTCAGGTACACAGGGAACAGAGCAAGTCTAGGTTACCAGTTTATGCTGCTAAACTTGATTTTTAAAGTTGGTAATAGTGAAAATCCTTCTTTGGTAAGGCTAGTTTTATACTTTTTAATCTTGTCAATAAAGCCAGTATGTGCCATTGAAGTCGATGAAGATAGATGGGGCAAAAGCTTACTGGGCTGGAAGAGAACATTCACATTAGTTTTAACAGTATGAGTTAATTCTGTATTAGGATGATGAAGAGAACTGAAATAAAATATGCAGAATCCTCATGAGCTGTGGGTGGAAGTTAATATTTTCTTTCTCTTCTAGTGAAGGAAGACCTTCTCCCAGAGTGGAACTGCTTCATAATATAGATCCCATGTTTGTGGATGATTACCCATGTGAGTATGCCACTGGTATAGACTCATAAAACATACAGATTATCTTCACACTATTCCTGGTCTTCCTTAAGTAAAGTATTTCCTTCTAGGTGAAACAATACAATGTAGTTTGCCATTTGCTTTTCAATAAAGCATTTAGTTTTAAAATACAGAAACATCAGACCTGAGGTAAATCCTTACTGAACCATGACCAATGCACACTTCCCGTTTTGCAGAGCTCTGAAACACTGCTGAGTAATGAATGCAGTACTTTGTGACATGGAGTTGTTCAGGAGCAGCCATGTGCCTGAGGTGCACAGCAAGGCAGACAGCCAAAACAAACCACCAAATCCTGTCTTCAGTGCTCCAGACTGGCAGGTAGTTCCCATTGAAATGCTCAGCCAGACATAGCTTGATGTGTTCACATTTAATGTGATCGTATCACTGACCTTGCAAATGGAAAACCCAAGTTTGTGAGAAGCTTAGAAGTTCCAAGTTTTGTGATTGCTTTTGTTCCATGATCACATGAGTTGAATATTTAATGCTATAGTCGCATAAATTGGAACTTAGCTTTGCCAGTTCCATAGCTCTTTGGACACTGTCTGTTTTATGATTTAACACTATTGGTTTACTAAGGACTACAGACTTTTCAAGCAGAGATTTTTTCAAACAGAACATTGGAACAAGTCCTTCCCAGGGTTTTTATAGCATTTCTGTATTTCATTAAGTGAAGAAATAAATCCAGGCATAGGAATAGTAGTCCAGTGGGACCTGTGATCTGTTACTTGCATGAGAGATACAAGTTTTGCTGTGTTAACAGGAAGGAAAGTGGCAAGGTGGCCTGCAATGCACATCTGGTTCTGTGATGCTTTTCTGAGATGGAGAAACATTGTGCACATCTAATGTTGGCTATACAATACTGCCTGTAGATAATTCCTACATACTGATGAAATTAAGGCATAGTTACTCCAATTTCCCTTCAAAGAATCCTCAGTCAGTTGTAGCATTCCTGTAAAATGCTATGCCATGATGTGTTTTGAGGTATACTTCAGAGACCACCATTTCCATGTGGGAGCTGCTGTTATTGAGCACAGCTGAGGTGTTTAAATAGCCAGCTTCCTGGTTTAAATATAAAGGGAATGAGAAGAGGAAGTTTTCAGAAGCCTAAGCTCAGGAAATACTCCCACAGATTGTTTCCATGAAGCCATACTCTGTTGATTCTTTACACAACATCAGGCGTATCTTTATGTGTGTATTTGTTGTGTGAAATGTGTGCAGAGAGCAAGGCAGTTGTGCAGAAGGCTTAGTAAATTGTACTTCATTCTGACTGAGATGTGACTTTCAACTATCATGAATGGAGGGAGGGGTATGTACCTGTAAATCCATAATATTTTAATATGCCATTTAAAAAGTGGAGTAATGAGAAACAAAATGCAAATCTTCACCTGCAAGTCCTTATGCACTCTGTATGGCGTGGATGTCCTATCTTTTGACTTCCCTGGGTCTCACTGAGTAAAGAGGAATTGTCTTTGCCTGCATATATATGACTTGCTCTGAAGGTAATGTCTCCCCTTTATTTCCATGGAAAACAGAACTTATATGAAGAGCACAATAAAGCTGTTTGATAGAGCAAATTCTCACCTGCAAAACACTGTATTTCAATGTAGTTACCACTATTAGCTATGCATTTTCATCAGCGATGAACAGGAACCTGCATGCTGCACCATAAAAATCTGCACCAGTGCTCATGACTCAATGTTGCTCACATCCACTGTTGAGTCTCCATAAACATTCAGCAAGCATTGATGAATATCAGTGGATGCCATTTTTGTGCATGGAGGAATTCAGTACAAACCTTTGCTTCATATGTGCTTCCATGTTAGAAACCTTTTTGTTAGACTGCCCTTCTGCCGTCCATCACATGGCAACAAAACATAATGGAGTATTCTGAGAAGGTTCAACCTCTACTGCCGTATCAACATCTGCCTGTGACGTCATGGGCCAACATATTAACATAGGAGGAAGTAATTTCAGAGCAGCTCTCATAAAATATATAGTGCTATTAATATATAAGTAACATAAGAAATTAATTTTTAGTATTTTTCTTAAAATATTAAAAAAGAGAGCAATAATAAACATAAGACCAGTGGGATATTTGGCCTTGTTTTTGTGAAACAAGTGAAACACTCTGGTTCAATGGCAGCAGTTGCAATTCTTATTTAGCTCTCAAGGTGTTCATCAGAGATTGTTGATGAAATTTTACTCTTCCTGTACTTCATTTTCGACAAATATGAGTAAAGTGTGATTATGAAGCAAAGATATTTTTCTCTGGTAATAGAAGTCTTATGAAACTTTGGTAAAGAGAAAATCAGATTTTTGAGTTGAATATCTAGCTGCAGTTCTATACATTCCATTTGAAAATTTGCAGATAATGTATTTATATCAACTGAAAGCAGTTTTGCAAACATAAGTTGATGGTTTGTTTTGTTTTGTTTCAGTCTTTAAAGCTGTTCTCAAACTTTTTTATTAAAATGGAAAGCATGGCTATGTATTCTTCATCTCTGTAGTGTGGTGCAGGGGGTAAGCTGCAGATTGGACATGCCTGGTGTATGTTTTCCCTGTCTCTTCTGAGGCAAGGTCTTTAACTTCAGCAAGCTGCTTTGTGCCACCCATTTCACTTTCTCTCTTAATAAAACCTTTGGTCAAGAACAGGCAGTGACCTCTAAATTCGAATATATTACATTCTTCCTAATTCTGATTTTACAATACCTTCCTAAAAGATTTGCTTGTAAGTAATTGTGTTACTGAAAGGTTTGACAGGATATTTCCCTATTATACATGATAGAACATACGTAAGACTGTACTTTTTTTCAAATCACCATTCTTTTTATTAACATACCATTTCTATTGCAACAGAAGTTAAATTAATTAATAGTCTACTGCTGGGGACAAGAATCCTTCCTTGTACTTGAACTGCTAGAATGTAGTTAGTTTCTTAACTAGAAGCTGAAATAGTTCTGTATTTTGTAGGACCAATCACAGTATTTGTGGTTTTATTTTTTCACTAGTATAGTGAAATTTTGCTGTGGTGTATAAGTCTGTGTTACTAGAAGCAACAATATGTAATTAACCCAGCCAATTTATTCTTTTTGAGTTTTTATTTATAGTCGAATGACAAGTTTAGAATCAAGATCTATGATAATGTTACTGGCATTTGTATTAGGGGTAAATTAAGGAGATACGAAGATTGGAATGTGTAGCTCTTTCATAGCTTTGGCAATATGACTCTTCTTGTTTTAAAAAAACATTTTAAAATGTCCATGCATAGTCTTCTTATCATTGAGGTGATAAAACGCGTGTCATTATTAAGTCTTGTTCTTTCCTTAACTGTTTAGTATTTTCTTGTCCTAACTTTTTGGTGATTGAAGTAATCTTTTTCCTGCAGTGCTAAAATATATGGAGGTTGTTTTTTCTTCTTTCTTGCCTCCTGTGTAATTATTATGACAGTAGTGTTTGCCCTTGCTCAAGTCCACTTCAGATCACTTCACCTAAATCATGATCCTGGTTCTTGCATTAAAAGAAGTATTTATATCTTGCTAACATTTATTCATTTATTTTAGTAATAATAGTAGAAGTAGAAAAAAAAATGACTAGAAGATTAAGTTTAGCTAAACCTTTGGGCTTGGAGGGTATTTTAAAAGGGTAAATAGGGAACTAAATTCAAGATACTATTAGACATAATCAAAGAAAACTTACAGGAGGTGGAGGATAAGCAAGAGAATTCTGATCACTGTAGTTATGCACACACAGGGAATTAAGTTATTGTTCTACGGGTGCTCATTGTGTGTTCGTTGAATTCTTAAGTGTTTTTGCATACAGTATGTGCATACAGTATATATATGTTGTTTAATGAGTGCATCTATTTTCATCTCTAAATAAACTGATAGTATATATTTTCGGTTGAGTGAATCCCATTACATGGGATGTCCCAAGTAATTCACAGATTTTTTGACAGAAATAGGAAAACTGAATTTTGCTCTATTCAGATTTTTAACGACAGACTTTTTTTCAGGGAAGAATTTGCATAGAAGACAAATTAGTATTAATGGTTACAACAGGGTTTTCAACAATATTAAATTTAAGGCTGAATATACTAATTTGATTACAGAGGTAACTAAGTCTTTGCTGCAGTGGTCTATTAGAACTAACTTTGACCTGTGAGTTTTCTACTTGGGGGGTAAGATCATACAGCTTCTTAAGTTCTTAGGCTGGGCACTGTTACCTAGCACCTGGGCATCAGCCATTGCTACTGCAACAGGTTGGTGAATCTTCTGATCAGCAGCTACTTGTCTGTGTTCTGGAACTTGTATCTAGAGGCAAATATGATAGCCCTATGGTATTGCATCAAAGTACTGTACTCCACTCCTATTAATACTAAGCAATATAAGAAGCAAAACACTGTCAACTATTTCATCTGCAGTTTCACTTTACAAAGCAATGCTGGCCGGCCTTATGTTTCACGTTGTTACCTTCTTAATTCAAATGTAGAACTTTGGAGTGGTCTAAAACATACTGCAGTGTTTTAAACTGTAATTTCTCATTTGTCTTTATCATTGTTGAAAAGAAGTTCCTATTCTTGACTGCGCATTTTCTCTCAGGCTATGTTTTACCTGTGGGAGCCCAGTGGAATGGTCAGGTTAAAAATAATCAGTTCTCTCTGAACTGATTTGGTTTACAGATCACAAAAATTGTGATGTTTTAACAGAGTGAAAAACTGGGAGCGAAATCCCCAGAAAGTGATATTAATAGGGGATGGGGTTTTTGAGGACTTCGTAGCGAGGCCAGTGTGTGGTGATATATTGACAAAATGACCAGCCTGTCTTTCTTTTTCTCCTTTTCTTTCTTCTTCCCCCAAGGGGAATCTGGAAATCACATGGCAACAGGGTGAGTCTTCTGCTGGACCAGCCTTCAACCTGAGGCATGGGTGGGGTGGAAAAGGAGCAAATTTCCACTAAAGCAGC